AAACGGCAGCAGGAGCAAACGAACCGTCGGGATTGCTGCCTGCAAATCAACGCGGCCACAGCCGAGTGCTCACAAGGATGTCATCGAGGACTTCCTGGCCCCCGTTGTCTGCAGTTTCCAGTAGTCTGTAGACTGGCATTCCGCGGTCTTAGGCAACCTAGGCAGCTGTTGCCGTCAATTTTCGTTGCCGGAATACATGAATATGCAAAGGGCCAACCGCGAGTCGCGAGTAGCGAGACTCCAACTCAACTAACTCACTTGATGAGACAAAAGGTTGTGGTTTAGAGTCCTTGGGAAAAGGCAATCAATGGGCCAGAGCTGTTGCTGAGTGGCTTAGAGAGCTCTCAGAAGATCCTAGCAGGAGCTACCATCAAAAAGTGTGTGATTTTACAAAAGAAAAACTCTATCCTGTTGATGCTGATCAAGAATAATCCTAGTTTTATGATAAAAGTGAAGATTAAATTTATTTTCCATTCATTTGCATGACAAGAGACCCAGCTTATTCCGGGCGAGGATATTTTTATATTTATTGGTAATCATGAAACCCTTGCTCTTTCAATAATATTGAGGTTTATGGAAATTGTACCTTCGTGCACCTAGATATACATAGACATTTCGATGGCATTAAAATGCATGCAGAAAAGTTATGTATGCGTTCAAATAAAGTCCTGCGAGCGGAGGAACTTAAATACTTGTCAAGGCAAATACTTCGATGTTGTTGCTTGTGCTGCTGCTGCTGCTGCTGCTGCTGGGCAACGAGCAAGGAGCAACATCCTTCGGAAGTGGCAAGCAAATGTGTCTGTCAGCGTGCCAGAGTGTGTGTGTGTGTGTGTATGATGTTGTTGTGCATTATGTTGCATTTGCAATGCAAATGCTTTTGTGCTTTTTGTTGATGTCGCTACGACAACGGAGACGATGAGGCTTATGTTGCTGCACGTTGCTTTTGCTTTAGTTGCTGCTGCTGCTGCTGCTGAGCCTTTTATTTCTTTATTGTGGCTGTCACATTGTGCGTCTATGCAACCATAAATGGATGTGTATGTGTGTGTATGCTTTTGCTGTTTATATTTCTAATAAAAATTGTACGTTATTTTATGCTTCGATGCACTGCACTAGGCATATTGAAAAAGGGCACATAGCGATGACAGCGTGAGGAATTGGGATCCTTTTGTGGAATATATATACATATATATATTAAATATAATATATATATTAAATAAATAATATTTTTTATTTTCTTTGGACGTTGATGCACTAAGGTCTTAATAAGATGCGTATCCTATAAGTTGTTATACTCCTTTTCGTTTTGGTTTCCTGTAACAAATTCAACACATGTTTATGTTTTCTATGGTATTTAACCTGATAAAAACTAACTCAGAAAATCTATCCTAATCAAAATTAATGCTTTTTTGCTTTGGTTATTATTTATTTTATTATTTAAATTAAATATATTCCTAAAAAATGATCACGTTGCCAACGCCAAGAAATCTTTGAACAATTTTTTCTGACGAACCGAACGAAACCTTTTGCGAGTGCGTGTGGGTGTGCCAGAGGGAAATGGGAAATGGGAAAAGCCCCGCGCTTTTCTGGGCCAAAGCTGACTGACTGGCTGATAAACACAAGCAAATACACGAATAGGCGACGGAAAATGGTTGGCGCTGCTCTCGTTTCGGCTTCCTTCGCAGTTCCCGTTGCATTCCATTAACATTACAAATGTATTCATTGTTCGCAACAGGCACCAGCAATGACGCCATTATGCGAAAATGTGACAAGTGATAGAAAGGATAATGCCGCCGCCGACGCCGTTGCAGCATCCCTCTGAACTTTTCCCTGGGAAACACACCCAGAGAACACTAGTATGCAGAACTTTTCCCCATCGCCGATTGTTTTTCCCTTTTATATACGCGCAAGTGGCTTTATTATTTGTTTTTCTCGCTCGCCCCGCTAATATTGTAAGTGTGTGTGTGTGTGTGTATCTGGCTTACTGCAGATGCTGCTGCAACTGCTGGGAAACCTATTTAAGACTCTAGAAGAAGGCTTTATACTCTTTTCTTGGTCTTGAGTTGTATGTACTTAAGGATTGTCATTAAATTCATTTATTTAATTATGGAAAACCTTTTGAGTTAGCAAATATACAAGTAGCTAGCAAAGAAATATTAAAATAGATTATTAGAAAGTAAATATTATAATCAATATATCAAATTTCAGATCTATACATGTACATATTGATTTATTTCGTTCCTTCTAGTTCAAGATTAATACTTATCAATTTCCCTAAACTTTTACTTAGCTGACCGACTTTCCATGTTAAGCGTAAGAGTGCTCGGAAAACTAACAACAACAATCGTGAAAGGATGACAAAATCACAGAATGCCAAATTGTTTTCCTATTATTGTTGCCATTGTTGTTGCTGCCACCATCCAAGGCATGGTTGTAGTTGCATTTGCCGCTGTCGTTGTTGTTGATGTTGTTGTTGATGCTGTTGTTGATGGTGTTGTTGTTGATGCTGTTGTTGATGTTGTTGTTGATGCTGTTGTTGAGCTTATCGTTATTTAAATTAGCATTACAATGCACTCACACACACACACACTGCGTGACATGGCAACCATATTGTTGCTTTGGGAATTGTTTGGTGCAACGGCGAGTAGAACAGTTTTCAAACTAGGTTTCAGCCCACTTTGAGGCTCCTCAGCGCTATCCTGCATATGTGTCGCAGCATTTAATAAATTTTTAATTAAATTCGAAATGCTGTGCAAGCGATTGACAGGCAAAAAGTAAACTTTAATAGATTTCAATAGCTTTAATACGCTATTTCAGCACTTTAAATTGTAACTGTGCTATTGAGATTGAGGAAAAACGAAGTACTTTTTAAATTTCTCAACAAAATCGTGTTAATTTTAGATGCTCTTCTCAAACACTCTTTCTTTTATATTTTTCCCAGACCAATCTAAGCGAATTTATTTGCTTATTCGTGTGACAAATTTTGATTCTCATCTACATCAAAGAGCGTATGGGTCTGTGCAGGATGAGTAAGTCCCGACGCGTTTGAATAAGCAAAATGCTACCGAAAACATTTATAAATTTCACACAACAATGCCATTGAAATTGCACAAGAGATGCCAATTGATGAACATCCAGATACACACACATACACACACGAGTTTGCCATCCTCAAATGGTACATGAAATGTGTCTAAGCAACAATTTGGCATTATCCGCCTCTGCCGGTTTCACTTCCGTTTCCGTATACTTTGGCCCAAGACCGATACGCTCCGCTGCAGAGAAGAAAAATCCACTTTGATATTATGCAATCGTGCGCGGCTAAAGGGAATGGCGAATGGTGGGAGGATGTGTGATGCCATACAAATGCCAATACATTATTCATGTTCGAAGCCATGGCTTTCGGGTCCTAACGCCTCGCTTGCTCGCATCCTCGTTGCCCAGACAGGTGTGCAAAATAACTGACAAATATTTTACAGGTGTCACCTTTTCGGAATTCGGAATTTGTAATAATTGCCAGTTACTTATGAGGTTTACAGCTTCAGTATTGGCTCGTCATGTGGTTCGTTAAGTATATAGAGAAACAATGCTACTATTTAAAGAAGATGTAAGGAAAAACTTTCGAAATTTTTAAAGAGGGAACACACTAAAATCATCTTGTATTACACAAAAGGCAAATTACGATTAAGTTAATCTTTGTATTAGATTTTCAGCTAACATACATAGCACATTTATAAACACATTTGTATAATTCAGTTTAAGCCTTTGGGGCTGGCGTCGCAGGCACTTGTAACGAATTACCTATTTTGGTAATCGTATCTTGAAATTGTTCCTGGATGCCCTGCAGGGATTTCTGCAAATCAAATGATTTGATTGTAATATACTATTAAAGTATCTATCGACTGGGCTTACCTGAAGTTCTGGATTCTGAAACAGTTGTTGAAATTGGGCTGCAAAGTTCTTGACTTGATCCTGAATCGCGTCCAAAGGTTTCTGCGTTGGCTCTTCACGAGCAATGCGAGCGGACATGGCCACCTGAAAGCGGAGTTAGATAGTATGATGAGTCCTTTTTCAGCTCCAGGACATCGGGCATCAAACTTACGGCGCACATGGCGAATAGGAAAAGGATCACTGCCAGCTTGGCCATTTTCAGTTAATGTTTTTCTGCTACTGATGTCAACCGCAACCTGTGGACCTGGGAACGTCGACTTTGGTACTGATCGAGCGCGTGAAAAGCTGCTTATAACGACAGCTAGTTTTACGTTTCAGCTGAATTGGAGTCCGCCTTATCGCACAGCAACTACACAAAGTCAGACTGAATTGACCCGAGTTCTTTTTATAGGTTGCTCTGTCCCTTGGATGTTAGAACTGATTGCTTTTGAGTATGTGAATCTTAAATGCGGTGTATGTGTAAATATAAACATAGCTTTAACCGACCATTATTACTAAGTGATCAAATTTTTAGTAAGACCAGCCTACAGCATTAGCTTTTAGGTTAGACAGGTCAATTTAAATTATCTTGGATCTCACGGTAAAATAGTTTTATAAAATACTAATCAAGAATCAAAAAAAATTAAGCAAACTTCGATGAGCCAAAATGTGTATACCCATGCAGTTATTCATACGAAAGGTACAATAAAATAAATAAAGAAAGAAAGAAAGAAAGAAAATCGATGGATTTTAGATTGTCCTACTTAATAAATAAATATATATTTTTCCAATCGAACATATAAATCTCAAGATCGTGTCTATAATGAACAGAAACCTAATGTTTAATAACAATAAAGACGAAGGGTTTTTATATTTCAAATTGGTACTTTTGTTTAACTTATTTTTCTTATTCAAAGGTCTTGCGGAAGCACAGTCAGAAGGTGAAATACCTGTGACGGAAGACTTCTTTTTACCAAGTGAGAGAAACTCTACCGACTCCTTAAAACTCTTTACAGTTGTTTGGGAATGGAATTGTGTATTTTGTTGGGAGTTTTAATTAAGAAACGTGATAATTGAGTATACTAAATTGAAATTAAATTTTCAGCATTTATTCGGTACATTAGATAACGATTAAGTCATCGTCTTAAATAACCTTAGTTCTTCTTGGGCTTGGTGAAATCATCAACAGATTTTTGGAAATCCTCAGCAATTTTTTTAAGACCTTCGTTTTCCTGAATGAAATTCTGGATTTTGGTTTGCAAATCTGCAGCTACTTCCTGGATTCCTTCGCCAGTCTTCTTTGCGAGAATTTGAGACTTTTCCTCGATGTCCTTAAACTGATTCTATTCATTGAAGGAAATGTATATATATATAGAATTTGGTTATAAGTGGTTTTTTGAGGTTGCTTACCTGGGTTTTTGAGCCTTGGACATATTCAGATGCTCCTTTACCCAAAGCCGCTAAGCTGTTCAAAAAGTTCTGCAAGGGAGTGGGCTCCTCCTGAGGCACGCTAGCGGACATGGCCACCTGAAAGCAGAGTCGGCTTAGATTGTGCTCACAGGATAATGACAACCCTCCGATCGCCGGGTGTTCCAACTTACGGAGCACAAGGCAAAGAGAACGAAGATCACTGCAAACTTGGCCATTTTAGGGTATTTTCTGTTACTGCTGCTGGACGGGCGAACGTCGACTTGAGTACTGACTGAGTGAAAGGCAATCTACCCATAACGACACCTCGTTTTGCGCCGCAGACGCCCAGAATTTGAGATCGAGAGTCCGGCTTATCAGCAGCCGCGAAGGTCGGACGCTTAGAAGCGCTTAGAGAACGGCGATAAGCTGACATTTTCCCGTCGGATTGTTCAGATCGACTGCTATAACTTTTTGGTATATATAAGAATATGTGTGTATAGAGAGAAATGTGTGTTTAAACAGCTAAGCATTATCATTTGCAAATAAGTAATGTTTGTATTAAGCCAAATTACCTGTGACATTGATATTGAGATTTCAATGAATTAAAAGCCTTGGCAAATACAATCACTGTGACTGCCCTGATCAAATAAATAAAAGTAAGTTTTTAAGAAAATCTCTATTATTTTAATATGTTTCGGTTTTTGGAATTGTCTTGAATAAGATTCAAACCAAAATTAGAATCATAGGTAAGTAAATGTATTTCCTATTCCAAAATAATCATATTTATAATACATTATTTTTATGTTATGCCTCCTGTTTTCTATTTCCCTTATCTCGCTTTACTTTTATTAAGTGTTCTTTATTTTATTTTCGATTAACAGCATCCGTTAATGAAAAGCACGTGGCCATATAGTCTCCTGATAAGAGCTGATGATTTGCCCCACTTTTGAGCAAATTTGCATTGTCATCATACATGTGCCCCTCAACAAAAACAAAAAGAAATAATAATAATAATTCTAATATATTCGGTGAGATTAAATCATAGGTACTGTGATTATGCAGACAGCAGAGAAATGTACGTAATAGTGACTACTATTTACTTACTTTAGAGGCATTAGCTCGCTTTGACCTTCTGGGGTTAAAGCTTTTAAGTTTTTATATGTACTTTTCCGGAATGATTTGCAATTCGGTTTTAATAAAACACACACTGAGCGAACGAAAAGTACAGTTTGTGGTATAGATAAGAGATGAGGGTTCTGAATGGTGACCACATTGTGCTTTTGTTGATATTCGAAGTACAATTGCCAATAGTAAATATACAAAAATATTCTCATGTTGGTTTAACGAATGGCTTGGAGATATATAAATATGAATATGTTAATGTTTATCCATAGTACTGAATCTCCCCGACTAGTTTGTAAGACCTTTCCATTAAAACAATCTAAAGTGAAGTGCGATGTCGAAGGTGTTTCCCACTTGGGGCCAACGAGCTAAAGATCAGCAGAGAGGGCTCAAAGGGGTGTGACCCCTTAGTAATTCTTGGTAATTCTGGCCAGACACAAAAACAAACAAAATTGACTGCCAGCAGAAGCCAAACCAGCGAACCCCAGCTACAACCAGGCTAATTTGCTTTCATTTGGCGGTATGAAAATATTTTATTTGCAATTTCGTCAAGTAGCGTGAGCTGGCAGAGAGCTTTTTGGTAACTTCTTCTTAGAGCACCGAACCAAGGATGTGCTCCGGCACCGGCGGATGGCATTGGGGCAAGGGCGGACCCAGCGTGGGATAGGTTCGCAGGCGAAGCAGCTCCAGGATCGTCTGCAGCTCCAGGACATGGGCATAGTGACGGCGTACGTTCTCCATTAGCTGCCGGTGGGTTTTGATTTGTGACATTCTGTGGGAAATAATATAAAAGAAAGAATAAGAATTTATGTCAGAATAAGGAACAAGAAATCTTTAAAATCTAGAAACTATGAGCTATATTTTTTTTAAATTAGTATCTTTTAAAATTATATTTTAATTTAACTATATTCATTATTGAATAAAGATAAATTATAAGCATTATTTCCATTATTTCCACCATTTAAAACAATTTATATATAAATTATACTTGACGAAATCCCTTATTTTTGAAGTGTATTATTAAAAAATTTCAAGGCTAGATTTCTGCCAGTGTACTAAAGGTTATCTTACCGTTCCCGCTGCTCACGATCCCGCTTCTCCTCCAACATTGTGTCGCGCAGGGAATTCTGTAGTGTGACGTCCACCTTGATCCGCTCTATCTTGAGGTCAATGGCGTGGCTTTTTTGCTTTACCTCTAGGGTATGGGCCTTTACCGTGTCGATTTTGAGATTCCTGGAATGGCAACAAACAGAATTTTTGTTTTTGTTCCGCAAATTGCTAATAGATTATGGGAATAAATGTGAGCCTTACACACGATCGATTTGCTTTCTGAAAGCGGCAATTTTCTGCTCGATGACGCGTTCTATGGCACCGGCTATGTACTTCTGACGCTCGGTCTTGACCTTCTCCCAGTTGCGAAGGATGGTAAGGAACTCCAGGGATACTTTGCACCTCTCGATGGCGTCCAGCAAGTACTTTAAATAGGCTATATTGGCCTTGTACAGTTTGTGTTCCCACTCCTTAAAGATCACCTGGCGCCGGAAGACCGCCACACGTTCCATGGCTCTGATTTTCATATTTCCGGCTTCCTGAATAGGGGAAATCGAGGTGTATACATAGGTATATTAATTGATTCTCACTTCTCACCTGTATCTGACGATTCACATCGTTGATGTCGTCCATGTGCATGAGAACCGTGTTGGACAGGTTGGTGAAGTCGCCCAACACACCGACCTCCACTTGGCCCATCGTAAGGGTCACCTGGATTGTCATATTCCGCATGTCTTCTAGCTGTTAGAGGGGAACAAGACATTATTATTTATTATTAATTAGTTTGAGTATAAGCCTAAAAGTATATTGGGAATTACTTACATAATGCTGGACACTCTCATCCCAGTTGGATTGCGCCTCCACCTTGGACTCACGCAGCGCTGTAATCCCCTTTTGGAGGTGACCACAAAAGGTCTGACTGTCCAGCAGTTGATAACCGATGCCCTTCAGCCGCATCTCGCTCTCCATCTTCTGGCGACGCAGTTTGACAAAGGTGTCCCAGGACTTGGCATCTACCTGCGGCGGGCACTGTTTCGGCAGATCGAATTCGGCGAGATGGTTGAGGAAGTCCTGGACATCGGTGGGCAGCGGGAATGGGGTGCGCTGGCTGGGCTTCCCGCTCAGCTTATTGGAGGCCTCCATGCAGATGAGCACCGAGTTGAATACTTTGGGCGGCAGCTTGGGCCGTTTCTTGAAGAGCTTGGTCATCTCGTGGGTGGCATGCGGCACCGTTGGCAGAAAGTTTGCGCGAAAGTGTCGCTCCACGGCCCTATCCCTGGTCTGTTGGGCCTCCAACCGAGTCCTTACATCTGCGAGGGATTTCTCCCAGAAGTCGGAAAGCTGACCTAAGCGGACGATCAAGTCACTCAGTTTATCCACATCGCGGCTGAACATCCCGATACGCTTGCGAAGCTGCACGCGCTTGAAGTTGGTCTTCTCCAGCGTCAGAAGACGCACCTGGCCCTGCTTCAACGCGAAATCATATTTGAGCTTCATGATCATTAGCTCGGCCACGCGCTGATTGAGTTTTAGAATCTGGGAGGCCTTGAGAGCCAGCGTCTTCTCCTCGTTCTCGTGCAGAATACGCAAGTACTTGCGTCGGTCCAGCTCCAGCAGACGCACTGCCTCTTCGTAGGCTCGGTAGATCTTCTGCTCCTCGAGATTGAACTCGTGCGGCTGCTTCTTCGCTACAAACTCCGGTACCGGTATATCCTTTTTGATCTCCTCCTCCCAGAGCTTCTCCAGCACGCCGTCCATCATCACAATGAGAGCACGCGCCCAGAACTCGGTGCTCCAGAGGAGCATGCGACCCTTCTTGCCGCCGGTATCGATGATCTTGGGTTTGCGGCGATTGATTGCCTTGATTTCGGAGTCATCAACCTCCATGATCCGCTCGATCACCTCGTCGTGCTCCAGCGCCGGAACAGTTAGATCGGGCTTCTCGAACTGATCCATGTTGAGCAGACGCAGCATGATGTTCATGTTGTCATAGATCTTGTAGAGCACCACATTCGTGTTCATAACACTGTCAATGGTGTCCCGTTTCAGCTGCTGGGCCTCGTGGAAGAGCTTGTTGAACTCCTGCTTGAGCGGATCGTTCAGGTAGTAGCGGATCTTGCAATTGTAGTTGAACACCTGGTTGGAGGTCACCATGTTCTTGTCCTGCAGCTGAAAGACGGGCGCCATAATGTGATCGTACACACTGGGCCCCTCCACCACGAACGGCTTGAGTTCTTTTAGTCCCGTCGGGCCCGCAGTCGCGTCCTCCTCCTCGCCCAGCTCCGTGTCCTCCATACCCGGAGGAGGCCCATGGCCCTGAGTCTGGGCTGCCGGCGGCTGGTACTCCTCCTCGCCCAGCGAGACCTGAGAGAGCCGGATATGGTCCTCAAGGTCATAGAAGCGGTAGCGATCGAACTCGACCATTTCCAGCTTCCGGCGGAATGCGAAACTCTCGAAGTTGGCGTCTGCGAAGATGGAGCGAACCCTGTAGTTGATGCTGACCGCATCGCGGGTCACCAGGCGCAAGATCCAGTCACGGATACGAGACTGGTCTGCAATGGCCTCCTCCAGCGAAGCGCGCTCCAGGGCACACAGCTTATGGGCCTCTTCGGTGAGCCGGTCCAGCCAGGTGTAGTGGAAGCAAAACTTCTTGAAAATGCCTTTCGTCTTGCCGGTCTTCGAGATGTCGTAGTCTATTAGCTCCGTCACCTTGGCGGAGAACTGATTGATCAACCTGAATAGCTTTTCCTGCTTGAGCAAATCGGCTGGCGAGTACTCCTCCTTCACCTCCTGGCGCATGGTCAGCGGCACGAACATATCTATTTTGTGAACTGTCTGCTCGATATAACAGGGAACGCCCTCCTCCGTGGGCAAAGGCAAGGCCTCGTTGTCCCGCACACAGTCGGCCAGCGAGGGGAGCCGCATCACTCGCATCTTTTGGTCGGCCAGGAGTATGATCAGATATCTGAGGGGGAAATACAAGACTTGGCTATCTATCTTTTCCAACTTCGCGGTTACTCACTTTGAATTGAAACACTCTTTGACCCGCGACAAGTACTCCGCTTGCATGCCAATGTTGAGGAAGCGGCTGACCATGAACGGCTTCTTGGATCGCTTGTGCTGCTTAAAGTGCAAAAGGATGCCACCCAGGCTCCAGGTGATCAAATGTTTGGTCATGCTCATGCCCAGAATGTAGCTAAAGTGCGCAGACTTCGTGGAGGCCACCCATTGCACTTCGTCGCGTTCATTAAGCGTAAACTGATCAAAGTTGAAGGTATTGTACTCGGAGGCTTCGATCTCGATTAACGACCATCGTCCCACCGGCGGCTGGACACAGAAGTAGTTGTACTCCTTTGGCAGGACAAATTCACGGCGATGCAGTCGCCGATCCTTGCCCCAGGTGAAGAGCCACAGCTCGGTGGCATATCCCGGCCGTTTCATTTGCCGCTCCCGATTGATGAAGACCATCAGACGCGGCCCATCGGCCAGCAGGAAGGAGTGCACAAAGACCTGACTCAGCTCCGGCTGATCCATCTCGAAGTAGTGCGTCAGCTTGTACGGCCGAGTCTCGACCTGGACCACCTGCATCATGCGGCTCTGATCCTGGAATACCAACCAGCTGTCGTTAAATTCCAGCTCCATTACGGCTGGCACGTCCGTCTGGAGCTCACACAGTACATGAGCTATGCTGGCTCGCTCGAATTGGATTAGAGTGATGCTGGAGTTCAGGGTGCCAACGGCCACGATGGCCAAACTTCGATGATTAGCCATGGCACAGGCCCATGGCACCACTACCTCGCTGAGAGTGTGACCCTTGGCCAGATCCATCATTGCCACCCGGTCGCTATGCAGGACACAGACACATTCGTCCTTCAGGCCGGGTAGTATACGGAATGTGATCACCGGAGTTCCCGAGGGCACCACACATTCCAGAGTCGGCATCCCGGATTTGTCCAATATTAACTGATCGATGTGGCCTGGCCGACGCTCGGCATATAGCTCCCCGTTCATGTTGCTAATAAACCGTACGACATCCTGCAGAGGAGCCTCCATCATCCACTCAAGCTGTAGGAAGTCAAAAGGTTCGATTAATGGGATCTATGAAGATGGACAGCTAGGAACATCAAACCCACTTGAAAGGAACCCGATCTCTTCTTCACAAAGAAGACATTCGAAGTGTTGTAAATAACCAGACCGCCTCGGTGGGGGGCTATGGAGTGTGCCCGGGCAGTTGTTAACTGATCTGACTCATAGATCGGACGCCATTGGTGCTTGAGGCTAAAACCCGCCAATTCCACCAGCGACATGACACCATAGTCATTCACCACATACAGGTAATCATCATCGCCAAAGGTGAGGAAACGCTCGTTGCCGACGGACTTGAGGAAATCATTGGTTACCTCTAGATTCACCACCTTGTGCAGGCTGGACTCCTTTTCCATGGTGCATATCTCATAGTTCAGGATGGTCATCTCCTGCTTGTGGAACTGCACAATGGTGGGCAATGTGTTGCAGCTCAGCACAAGGGTACGCGGCACGGTGGCCACCAGGGTGTTCTGCCTCAGGATCAAAGTGGAGTTGCGGTAGTTGAAAACGGCCAGCGGATAATTGGGATGTCCGCCAACACCGACCAGCATGTCGAACTCGGAGAATCGGATATCCGAATAGGAAATCATTTCAGCTGCCAAAAAAAAGGGATTTGAGAAATTGTTTTAAGTCCTTTTCCTGCTACTCACGGGGAATGACGCTGAACTTGGTAAAGTCCGGATACCGATAGACAAAGATTTGTGGTCGCAGAATCACCTCGGCAAAGGCAAATAGCGGGAAGCGATTGTGGCCAGCGAAAACACTGATGCTCAGTCCGGTGGCCACCGTTTCCGGTTTGAAATAGCTGACAGCCTTTGTCTGCATATGGATAAACTTGATCGTGTTGCCGTTGCGCAAGCACAGGACATCTGGGCCCACATTCATGATGGTGTCCCTGTCCCAGATGTTGCACCAGCTGTGTGTGGTTTAACCAAGTCATATATCTGCATGGCGGGTAGATTCCCTTTAAACTTACCAAACTGTCGAGGTAATATTCATGTTGATCCGTTTCAATGCCGGCGAGTTACTAAACTAATTGCTAGTCAAGAATGAGGCAAAGGTTGCTAGGATTCTTGATTTTTTAGCCCAAGTTTGTTTGGTTTCCTTGGTTATTTGTATATGTTTTAGATACAAAATAAGTATGACACATGACTAAAGTAATTCCTCAAGTTTTCTAATTGAATTAAAGATCCCTGTATTGCATTGTGCTACTTTCAAGGACCTATGGTGTAATTTTCCCCATTTCCCGCCTTCAAATTTCCCAAGGCGACCCCCCCGCAAATTGTCCTCCGACTTTCTCGTAATTGTACACACAATAAAAAAGTGCCGCGACTATAAAAAACCCAATGCCTCAGACAGCCGCTGACTTTGGCTCAATTATATTTGTTTGTTTTTGTTCCCTGGCTGAACGTTACTTTAAAATTTGATGCGGCTTGTTATTTTTATTGCCAAAGCGTTATGGTTAATGGGGTTGCCTTTTTTACCAACGACGCTAAGCGGTGATAGGTAATTTTTTTAGGGGTCACCGGAGAGTCATTTTGTATGTGTTTTCGGTCAGTATTAAATTTCTGCCAATTTACCAGAATATATTTCAGAATATAGCCAAATTTGTAAACGCTTTAAAAAAATATATAGATGTAGAAATACGAAATAGAAAATACAAACAACATGGTAACGGAAAATAATGAGGCAAAATTAGTTTAGAAATTGGCTTAAATGCACATAAATTAAATCACTCTGCCATCGATTTATCCTTCGTGCGGGGCAATTAAAAACATTTTAGCACAGATTTTCATTTACACGGGGCCATAAATTTTGTTAAAAGCCCGAAATATGTTTAAAATAAAATCGCAAAGCCCGGCTCAGCAATCGACAACTAATGGCTAACAGCAAATAGAATGCATGTTTAACTGGGCCAACAGCGGAAATGGTCTTTAGGCAGCCGCCCGATTTTAGCCCAGATTTGTTTGCTGGCCATATAAAAACTAATTTGCCGGGGTTTACTATTTAAATTTGTTAAGCATTCCCCGGCGCACTCAAACAAATTAGTTTCGAAAAGCCGGTCCCCGAATTTAATATTAATGTTTGGATTTCCTCCTTTCCATTTCCTTCGTGGAGAAATGCTAATGAATAAAGAAATGGGCAATCTCGGCGACTCATGTGGGTTACGGAGAGAGAGTCCTCTGTGTTGGGTCAAAAGGACAACCCCTCTTTTGTTGGTTCCTTGCCAGACTCTTAGCCATCTGCCAGCCAATTGTGTGGCCTATTCTGGCATTGCCAGCTTGTTGACACAACGCGACGACGACGACGACGGAAGGAAGGAAAGAATTTTCAGCACATCAGCGCAATCTTTTGCTACAAAGTTGTTGCCTTTTTTTATGAGGGTCGTCGCTACCTGTAGAGAATTTGCCGTGTCCCGGCGTCATGTTCTCGTTGACGTTGTCTGGCCTTTATAAAATATTTATTGCAGCCAGCTTGGTGGGGTGGCTTTTTGGCTGGGACCCCCTTGGGGTGGGGTTATTAACATGTTAAGCAGATAAAAAGAAAATTGTAAGAAATTTGGTTCGTTTTGAATGAAAATGCTGCTCCTTTGAATAGAGTTTGGGAATTTCTAGGAGGGATCTGGAATTCACAATCGAATGCTTTCAAAATACAACTAAATATTTTTGCATATTTATTATGTGAGTTTTTAACATTAAACGATGGAATGTGTGTCCTGTCTGAGACCTTTATCCTGCGGGTCATTTGCCATGATAATTCATATGCCGGCCTCTGACATTATCGTATTTATTAACATATATCTCGGCACAATTATCGGTTGACACAACGCCGCCAGCTGATGCAACATATTTCCCCGAGCGGAGGACGTTGGTTGGGTTGCTACTTATGGCACAATAATGATTTACATTGCATAGTTAATGCGTTTTTAACGAGGGCCTGCATAACGTATTAAAAAGTTTTTCGGGTGCAGCAACGAAACTTGTCACCGGGGAGAAGAGATTCGAGATTCCCGAGTCCCCAGCACAATGAAAACTTGTCTGTCTTGCCGCAGAGCCCGCCGCCTTAAGCGTTTCCCAAAACTTCTCGGCGGCAGGGACTGGGAGTCATTAACATTAAAGACATTCAGCGTGTTGCCGACATGGTGAAAAAGTTCGTCCCCTCATATGAGAGGAGGACAGGTCCGTACTCTATGGCCGCAGCACTGCAGGGGCACATAAATAATTGAGTGGCGCCCCAAAGTAGGCAGCAAAATGCAGGCGGCAGGCGGCAGGCGGAAACCGGAAACTGGCAAGCTGCAAACTGCAGACAGCAGGTGCGGCCAGCGGATGTTAAATAGGGGGGTTCAAGGGGGCGGGTGGCTCAAGGGGGAAGGGTGGCTCATGGGGTACTGTGGAGGGAGAGCTACTTGGTTATGCGCTGGCTGCGGGCTGCATTCACTTAAATGAAGAAGCCGCAGGCCTCAAGCAAATGGGCTTCCTCTTGATGTTTGGTTTTCTATTCGTTTAAGAATATATTACCTTTGAATTAAGAGTAGATTCAAGAGATGTAAGTTTAATTTAATCAGAGTTGCAATTTATAGTTTATCTTCGAGCGAGTTGTTTATGAGCCACTCTCATCGCCTTTTTTGTTCTGCAAAACTGGCAGCTGATTATAATGTGCTGCTATGCACATGCCGAGAGCCGTTGACGCGCAACTCGTTAAATTTCCATCAGGGTGCGTGTTGTGCACCATATTGCCCCTAAATGTCAACCAACTTTCACAGGAGAAGGTTGGAGCTCCGGCAATGAACTGTGATGTCCTCACGTATTCGCATGATATCGATTTGACTTACAAAACCCATACCCAAACCCATCCATACACACACACTCTCGCTTAGCTGTCACACATGTCCGTAATTGATATTTTATGAATGAAATGTAAACACTTTTTTTACGATGCCGGTCAGAAAGAGTGTTACATTGGGTAGAGCAACTTCGATATTGAAGAGAATGCAGATATTGACATAAGAAGAAAGATCAGTAACAGAAGCTCCTTAAAATACCTACATAAACTGTAAAAATATGTCTAAAATATATTATAAAGAAGGAAGAAAGGCGATGGTATCGGAAATCGATCATAACTCAGCTTAAATATGACTCCTTCACAGGGTTATAAGCTTCTGATACAAATTATAATACCCAGCAAGGGTATATGAAAAGATGTAATAAAGTTTAACCCGAGTTACACAGAAACCAAATACTTTATTTCGCCAGATTTCAGTGAAAGAAGTCTCTACAACTTTCTGTTATATAGAATATTATAACCACAAATATTTTACAGCAACACAAAACTTTATTGCAGTTTTTAAACTTGACAAATTTTTTGAAAGCATTTCCTGTCGCTTCCCCAGTGTGCAAGCGAGTTTCGGAGCGGAGCTTCAAAATGTTGTCAAAAACGAAAGAATTACCCAACTGCCGGGTTCCAGAGCGCTCGTCAACGCCTTTTTGGCCCCAAACACAATTGCCAGGACACCATATAGCCATAAAAGCCGAGAGCCAAGAGGCGGCCAGCCGTAAAGAGCTCTCCAAAGCACTTTCATACCGATATGTGTATGCCATTAAACTCCGCATTGCCCCCTAGCTCTTAACCCACGAGGAGCAGCATGCATTTATACAAATATTGCATTAAACATACAAACACACACACTCTCTCTCCATATATGTTTTCAATTCATTTGCACATAAACAAGTAAAAACTGAAATTGTTTATTATACAAAGGCAATTTATTGATGATGTCTTTTAATCGAGTGTTTTCCCAGCGGTTTGTTATCACTGAAAACGTTTATTTTAATTATTCGTTCGAGTTGTGCATGCACAACAACAACAACAAAAAAGATGCAGTTTGTTATTTTTTCCCCTTTGCTTTTATTTTCAATATATTCACTTTATTTCGAAGAAAGAAGCAGCCTGCTCTCAATGTCTTCTTGGACGGCCAACGGTGCGTATGATTGACGTAGTAGTAATAAATTTATGAGCTCAATTGAATTGTGTTTTTTTTTTGTGATTTTTACGGAAAATATTCTCCTTATGCTCTTATTTGATTTTGAGCCATCTCAGTTATTGCCTCTCCAAAACAGAATAACATAGGCGAAACTGTTTTGTTATCACAAGTGTGATAGATTTGACAATGTGTGCCACTCGAGAGATATATCTTTGCTGTATACAAGTATTCGCGTATCTGCCACAAGGCGTGGCAGGCGTGGCATATATATCTGTCACTGACAAAATCAGTACGGACTTGTTTGTTTAAACTGCCGCTGGCATATGCAGGACCCACTACACAATGATATATGATCTTGGCTTGGAGGCACAATTACCCAAAGACACAGATCTGCGAGCCGAGAAGTAGGCGAAGTAATTCAAATGTCCCAGCCATAAATCACTTGCAATGCGTTCCGGCTCGAAACTAGGAGGGAGGAAATCTGTTTGCAGATAAGCTGAGCGAGCGAACGAGCCACTGGCAGGACCTTATTGAATCCTATAGTCTATTCTAGGCTAGGGATTCACAAAGGGAACACAGCTTGTCTTTATCTATATATGGAATATAGATGGGAATCTAAGGGGAGGTACACAGAAAACCCTCCAATGTTAGTTGTTTTAATAAGTGATTCAGAACAAGTATCGCAAGAGTTAATGGTTTGAGTTACATACTTAAAAATATCAATTAAACTTCAATTAATTAGTAAATTTCATAATATTTATAAAGTTTTGTAACCATAGATTGACTGAGAACAAATTGCTAAACGCTTGCAACCATTGGTTAAGGTTTTATATTAACTTCTATCAGCTTTGCATGTCCTTATATCCTTTTATCTGATAAAATGCATTTTAAAGAGAAATCCACTATGATTATTAATATTTTAGTAAATAAAGCAAATTAAGGAGCCTATTTTGAATCCCTTTTCTTCACTGTGCACTTTACCCGTTTGGCAAACAAGCTACTCATCAGCCAATTGCAATCTAATCTTCTCTTGGCAATCTC